CCCCCCCCCCCCCCCCCTTTTTACATGCGCCGTGCAATGAACCCCACACACAATGGTTCAGGCGGTAAGACGGTGGTGCTCAAGACCTTGGGGTTAGTGGCCCTGATGGCGAGGGCGGGGATACCGATCCCCGCGGCACAAGGGGCGCGCGTGGACCTGTTCGACCCCGTTCTGGCTGACATCGGGGACCTGCAGAGCGTCACCGGCGACCTGTCGACCTTCAGCGGCCACCTCGTGGTATGCATTCGTGTGGATAATTTACCGGTGGTCCCTTGCGGAGGCAGTATTTCGTTTTCGCACGTTTTTCTGTGGCAGGTGGTTTGGATCTCGGGGCGCTTGTGTAGGTATTACGGTAAGGACGGATCGTTTTTCGGCTCGGGAGATGACAACAAAGAATCCTTTTTGCAGAGTGTTTTTTTTCGCAGCCTTGTTGCGTATGTTCCATCTTGTAGCACTATGTCCCCTCCCGCAAGGGCTCATTTTTCGGCTCGGGAGACTACGACGCGATTTTTTTCACCTGGCTTGAACACTTAGAAACCGCCGAAGCGCCTCTGTTACCCCGGTGGAAACCCCTCTTTGGCGTGTGTAAACGGGTTTCTCGACGCCTTTTTTTGTGTCGTCCCCCTGTGGAAGGCTTCAACGGCCTGTGTGGTGCCGTATGTTGCGGCAGACGTGTCCCTCTCCGGCACCATTGTTATATCCAAACGCCGCAGTAGGCGGAAGTGCAGGGCTCATTTTGCGGCTCGGGCGGCACTGAAAAAATCCCACTCATTGGTTGCGTAATCCAGCCTACCGCAACCTATGTGTCGGCCGTTGATAGTCCCTTGAGGAGAACGGATTCAGTAGGATAGTTCAGTAGCACGATGGTGTTGGTCGGTGTTTTTTTTTGAACGAGCTCCGGGTGTGCTGTGCGGTGATACCCTGCGGAGTGGCATTCGTCTGCTTCGACGGGAGTGTTGGTGTTAATTCGTGCATGTCACAAGGGTGAAATATTGGCTCTTTGAACGTTTTCGAAGGTTGTCGCGCTGACCAGAGCACCCGTGAACGGCCGCGGGGGGTGGCGAATGTTTTTTTGTTTTTTTGTTGTTGTTGCAGGTGGCGAAGGCTGTGCTGAGCGGGGCGAGGGCCGGGTCCTTGGTGCTGATGGACGAGATGGGCAGCGGTACCGACCCCATGCAAGGCGCGGCGCTGGCGCAGTCCCTCCTGGAGGTATGAAAAGCAGCAGCAATGCCGCCCCGAACGCACGCACACAAAAATTGTACCATGATTGACGTCACCTGAACTTCATCATTCCTGGATATTTTCGTATTACAACACGGGGTACTCCGCACGACGAGCTAGAGTGTCAGCTTGTCGACCTAGCGGACAGGAAAGTTAAAGTTCTCCACTACGCTCTCTTGACGCCCCGTGATCTCGGCAGCGCATTCCACCGCGGCGCGCACTGTGATAATGGCGGCCTGCTTGTTGTCGACGATTTTATTTTTCATACATACTGTATAGCCGTAGAGCTGTTGTTGTGCCATGAGAGTCATGGTGTTGGTCATGCGACGGCGGTGTACCGTAGGAGCTCAAGGTCTGGGAGGGTCGACCGTGATTGGGCGAAAGTGCCGACTGAATGGGAGACTACCAAAAACATTCCCGTGCGCACCTCTCCCTCCTTCTTCCTTGGCCGCCGCCCGTTGTCCGCTTCCTCTCACCACTCTCGTACCCAAAAAACCGCCACCGCCACCCCCCTCCACCACCGCCGCCACCAGCAACAACTACACCGACCACAGCGAAAAGAACCAAGACAGCAATAACACTCCAACTATTTACAATTCGTAGCCCCATTTTCGATTCTGTACCAGCTGGCAAGCATTCCCCGATGAAAAAAACAACCCTCGCAAAAAAAAAAAAAAACAGGCGTTGGTGGACGCCGGGTCCCGCGTGGCCCTCACGACGCACTACACCCAGCTGAAGGAGCTCGCCGCCACGGACGAGCGTTTCGGCGTGTCTGCCATGCAGTTCGTCGACGGGAGGCCCACCTACCGGCTCATCAAGGGGGCGGTCGGCGAGTCCTTCGCGCTCCAGGCAAGGAAGGAAGAGGCGGGCATGGGAGGATGATGATGATGCATCAAATAGTGGTAGTATTTCGGCGATGTTGTGAGTGTGGACGGAAGGGGGAGATGGGGGATGATGCATCTCAAATATTTTGTGATTGTTCGACGATATTGTGAGTGTACGTGTAGTAGGGATGGGGAAGATGGGGGATGATGCATAAAAAATGTGGGTCTGTTTAGCGATTTTTCGACGATGTTGTGAGCATGGACGGAAGAAGGAGATGGGAGATGATGCATCAATTTTTGGTAGTGTTCAGCGATTTTTCGACGATACTGTGATTGTGTACGGAAGGAGGAGATGGGCGACCATGCATCAAATTGTAGTGTTTTGTTTTGCCTGTGTGCGATTTGCTACGATGGATTGTGTGCGGGTGGACAAAAGGGCGGTAGCGTGGAGTCGGCGTGCATGGATGAGCAGGCGGGCTGTCGTGTTTCGAAGTGGGCTGTAGAGGGGTGCAAGAGAGTCGTCGACTGTGTCGGCCCTCTCTTGTAGGTTAGTTTTTGTCCACCGTTTTAGCACCACCGGTTCGTGTATGTATCTCACAATGTATCTCTCGCCTTCCCTTTTCCACTTGTCCATGTCCACTTCTTTGAAACACTCTCTCCTTGCGCACCCCCCCCCCCGTTTGTTGACCGTTTCATCGATACCCTTGCCCTTGCGTGTGGTGTCTGTCGTTGTTCCCCCCCCTGTTTTCGTGCAGGTAGCTGAGCGCTTGGAACTCCCGGCGTTCGTCGTAGAGCGCGCCCGGAGCTTACTAGACGACAACACCCGCCAGGTAAGCGTCAGCTCTAATTCTTCCGCTCTGTCGGGGTTTTTCGTTGTTGTCAAGAAACCAAATATGTGTGTGGCAGACATAAACGAAGCCCGGCCCTCATGTAGCGACTGGCTGGCTGACTGGCTGGCTACTTTGGCGGAGTCCTTGTCGCTTCTCGTGTTTCCGTGACGGCCTGCAGACCGGCTAAGGTGAAAGTATAGTCGAGGTCAAGAATACGAAAATGCGTACCATGGTGTGCCGTATGCGGTCGTTGTTCTCACCGCCGATCGCGTTGTGTCTTTTTTCGTTTTTTCGTATCCCGCCGCACATGATGATGGACGTCGTCGTCGTCGTCGTCGTCGTCGTCGTTGCGTGTTGGAAACACAGGTGTCGGAGCTGATCAGCAAGCTGGAAGAGGAGAGAAACCAGCTGCAGGACCAGCTGGACAGGGCGGCCAAGAGGGAGACGGAAGTTCTGCAGCAGGTGCGGGAGGGGGTGTCGTATACGTGTAGATGAAGGAGGACTGGTGGGTGTGCGCGCGTGCCTCTCCTTTTTTTTTCTTTTTTTTTTCTGATGTGTGTTCTCTCATGTGTTTTTTTCCTGTAGTAGGTGCCGAAGGGGGGGGAATCGTTACGTGTAGATGGAGGATGTGGGTGCCTTTCTCTATTTTTTCTGATGTGCATTCTGTGTTTGTGTGCGCGTGTGTTTTTTTTGTTTTTGTCGGATGCGCAGCTGAAGAAGCTGGCTGAGGAGAGAGAGGAGGCGGCGGAGCTGCGGTCGATGGCCAAGAGAGACGCGGCAAAGGAGTACGCCGTCAAGCTCGACGCCAACGAGAAAAAGCTCAAGCAGGTGTGGTTCCAGGCCCCACGGTCGAAAAAGTCAGATGGAACGGGAACGACCTCAACACATTTTGTCTTGGCGCTACGCACGGCGCTGCTCGCTTTATGACTCTTGCGAATGGTAGGTATTCCGCACACTGTTTTTGGCGGTGTGTAGGTGGCGTTCCGTTTGTTTCTCAAGTAGCACGGTTTTCCGCAACGCATCTTGGCGCAATAGTGTCCCTGCTGCTTGCTGAGGTTGGATACGTGGAGACGCAGTTTTCTATCCCCCCTTCCAGTGCGTATCATGCCGTTGTACGTTGGCCGGATGGGATGAAGGTTCGGTTGTTCCTGTCTAGGAGAAGGCCGCTGGGGTGGAGGAGCGGCACGGCTAAGGGCGCCTATGCGGGGCCTGCCGTGCGTTCAAGCTAGTGCGGGTCCGGCGACTTAACGCACCACACAGCGGCGTGGGAATAATATTTTTCGCCCGAAAATGGTTAAGAATGAGTTGATAGCCGTCCACATGATATATGTGCTGTTTCGTATGCTCACGTCGTACGCATGAACCCCGTACACCAAACATCACAAGGTTTATCTCTGGCGCTCTTCGCTCTGTCTCTCTCTATGTGTCTGTCTGTCCGTCTCTCTCTTTCTCTCTCTTTCGTTCGTCCTCCGAATTTACGGTTCCTTCCAGGAGTTCGCCTGAGCGGAGGCCATGAAATCTTCACACACGTCGGTCCTTATCTCGCATGTCACTAGCGGAAAGTCTCAGTCGGGATGGTCGCACAACCGATGCTTGTTGGCATCGATATCGACTTGTTTGCTGCTGCCATTGCCGTTCCCGTTGCCGTTGCTGCTGCTGCCGTTGCTGCTGCTGCTGCTGCTGTTGTTCACGCGCCCACCCGACTGCCGTTGGTGTCGTTGGTGCTGTTGGTGCTGTTGTTCACGCGCTTACCCGTCTCATCAGATGTTCGACAAAGTTAGGAGCGAGCCCACGACCAACGTCATCGGGAGTAGCATAGGAGAGATCAGGTGCGGATGACGCCTTACCTCGAGTATAGTTAAAACGCTTTTGTCGGCCTTTCTATCGGGGAGTATCGGGAGCTCGGACGGAGAAAGCGCGGTCGACATGTGTTCAAGGATACCACACCAGAAAACGGCCATGGGGGAAAAAAGCGTCGAGCAACAGCGAGGGCTTTGAAAAGAAACAGCCAGACACAACACACCGCCGCCACCACCAGCACGTACGAGCTCAGCATCAACACCGTTTCATGGGAACATCCCGGCGGCACATTGATAAACAGCAGTGGGGGTCCCTAAATAGTGCCGGCTGAATATAGAGTGAAGTCGCGTGACACCGATGACGTCTTCAATGTTGAAGTCGTGGTAGTGCTGAGTGCCCGGTATAGTGAATGGGTGCCCAGTACAGTGCCGGGTTCCCGTTATAATGTCGGGTTACGGATTTGTGCCTGGGGACCGGTATCGTGCCGCTGAATCTGGCGGACACATTCCGGCACTACTGAGGGACCCCCCGCTGTATATTTGCACACGCGACAGGGCTCTCAAGAAGGAGGTGCAGAAGGAGGCCGCCGTGCCGACCTACACCGCCAAGGACCTCGGCCTGACTCCCCTCAAAAAGAGGGATAGGGTGGCCAAGGGGGAAAAAGTGGTCGTGTGCGACGGGTCTTCCATCGGCTGGGAGGGAGAGGTCCTCTCGGTACGATACATATATTCTATTATTTTATCCCGCCTTTACTTTGGAGATTGGTTTCGTGTTTATTTTTGCATGGTGTACTTCGTCGTTCGCGGTATATACTTTTGTTGTCCGACCTTTGTATGCAGATTGGATACGTGTGTGTGTTTTTTTCACCGTTCCTCATTGTTCGCGGTATCATGCGTGTGGGTATGATGAGGCCGCTATTACGTCTTGTTTTTGCGAGCGTTCTTATATTCCCCGTTGTTTGTGTCGTTTGGCCTGCGTCTCGTCTCCGTTGGCTGTGATGTGGGGGGTGGCAATCAATCGGGTTGTGCGTCGTTCTTGGGGGCTTGGGGGCTATGTTTCTCGTGCTACGAGGTTGCGGCTGCTCTGCCGCTATCATTGTACGGCACACACTCTTGACTGCCTTTAATCACTGTTTCCACTGTTAAGTCTTGAGCCAGGGGTTTTGGATCGTCGATTTGTTTGCGACATGCACAAGCGGTTGCTTTGTGGAAATTCTCTCTGTGTGCGTAGCAGGACGCGTTTCGATGCGAGCTGCTTCACCCTCCCTTCGATATATAATCATGCCAAATGTTTCGTAATATGTCCTTTCGAGAAATTCCCCGCTCCTCCTCCCTCATCTTCCACGCTGCTTCGACCCTCCCTTCCCCCGATGCGCACCTTTTCGTCTTACAACCGTCCGTCGTGCGCCGCTGACGATTGCTTTTGCGTTCGTATCTCGCACGGAAACGTACTTCCAAAAAAAATAAGACGTCCAATCGCGACGTGGAGGTGTTCTTGCCGTCGGCGGAGGCGTCCATGCGTTTCGCCTTTTCCCAGCTGAGCCGGCTACCTCCCGGGGGTGTGAAGTGGCCGGCCCAGTCGCCTTCAGGGGGAAGCCTCGCGAAGAAGCGGTACCCCGGAGGCATCGTCGGGCCTCCGGGTGGCGCCGCTGCTGCTGTAAGTGTCACGCTCGCTCGCTGTCGTTGTTGCTTTGTTGCTGAGGATTGTTGTTGTTGCTTGGGGCTGTTCTTAGTTGTTGTGTTCGGGTCGAACGAGTGAATACCGCCATTGACGTCGGATATTCGCAACGCCGCCTTCGACCCTACCGCCGACGCCACCGTCCCTCGCACCTGAGGCTTGATCTGCTGATGACCGCGACGAACGAAGTGCTTGTGCTTCTTTTCGGTACTTATTTTGTAGAGGTGTTGCTTCCGTGGTTGGTGTACGTATTGTGGGTGCTGCAGCAGCGCACGTGTAGGCTGCTCAGTTGCAGCCTGTGGCGTCAGGGTCTCTTGCTGTCTGGAGTTTAGATGGCCGGCGATGCCAGCAGTCGCCTAGGCGGCCGATTTTCCCTTCCGCTCACGGCGAACAGATGCTGTGAATCTACGCCCCCCCGGTTTGCTGCCCCCCCCCCCCCAGCACCACAAATGAGTATCGAAGTACGGTATCGGAGACCCTCTTTTGACGACAAGTGCCCCCTCGTTACCGCTTTCCCACGGAACATCCTGTAGGACACGCCGCGCAGGAAGACGGGTACGTCGAGGAGAGTGGCGCAGTACCTCGAGGATGACGTGGGGAGCTCCAGCAGCGGCGACGGCGACGACAACAACAAGCGAAGAAAAAAGCGTTCGGGGGACAATTACTTCATGAGGTACGTGCTTGCTTGCGTTTTTTCCTTGGCTGCGCATCATGGCGCAAAGTCGTTTCTGCCGCTCTCGACAACACACCTGGGCTGTCCCTCCTACCGGTGTCTCCACCACGGCTATCTCCAAACACCGGCGACTGCGATATAGTATCTACACCGCCATTTTTTGCTAATATTCATACAAACGCGGAAAGAGATACAACCACAGTAGTCGAAGGGATGCGTTGAGTTTTGTTCAGTTAGTGGGAGAAAAACCAGCCCGATACTAGGCTTATTTTTGAGTCTGTTTGAGCCTACGCAAAATGATTTCAGTGATGTCTTCCTTGTTTTCACAGACCCAAGTTTGAAACATGAAGCTTATTCGAGCGCGCCCCGCGTGTTGGGGAGTAGATCACGGCGCGATGCGTGCCCCGGTCCTCGAGATGGACGGGTACCTGCGGCCAGAAGTGTGAAATTCGAACCTACGCGGGCAAGCTAGCACGCCTCCGACGTGTCGGTTGGAAACCCACGCGTTGGTACCCGATGGAACAAGCATTATTGTTCAAACACTGGTAACGGTTGGAAATTGCGTTGGTTCATCCTTGTGAAACGTAGCCTGGGCGGGTAAAAACCCGGCCTAGCTCGCCGTTCGGGCATTGTAGGGAACGCGAGGTGAATGGTCAAACCACTAAGGCATGTAAAACGTGAGTACCGTCCCCCCCTATTCCTGTCCGACGACCCCTTCCTCCTGCCAGGACGGAGAGGAATACCTTGGACCTCCGAGGCATGACCCTCTCCGAGGCGCAGGGCGATTGCGACATGTTCTTCAGCAACGCGATCATGGATGGCTCGGACGGCGTCTACCTGCTCCACGGACACGGCACCGGGGTGCTCAAGGCAGGGATTCGACGAGTAAGAACGTATTTATTTTTCGTGCTGCGAATGGGGGGCGGGGAGTGCTCATTTTTTTGGCTTGGCTTTCATGGACTTGGCCGTTGACCACCGCTTATCTCTTGCGACACGGAGCCCTCACAGTTCTCTTCTCATAGAAACGACGCGAAAGAATCAATCCGACACGCGGCACAGGCAAACAGGTTGGTACTCCGGATGTTCTATATGCTCTCCAGTTCTAGGTGTGGACACCTGGCATTTCTTTGCAATTTTTGCACGGATACTGCTGTGCCGGCACGCCAGCGAACGTTGGGTTCTGTCGGCATGCCGAACGCCCTTTCCCGCAGACGTTGTTAGGGTGTATTGTACTGGTTTAAATTAAAGCACCCGATGATGACTGCGGGGTTGGGTCTTGCGGTTGTTTTCGTTCCGCCCCATCTCGACCATGTTGGGCACCAATCTCCATCTGTGCCAGCCTGGGTCACACAGGACGAACTCTCCACTGTTCCTCCTGCGGCTGTTGCCTCCCGTTTTGTTTGGAACGGTTCACAAATCCCTTCCCTCTGTGCGGTGCGTACTCACGGCGATGCACGTTTCAATTTGTGAATTGTGGAGCTTTGTCGAAGTTCTCCAGAGATATTTGAACCCGCAGCCTAGGACCGGCAAGCATACCAACTGAACCCACTCAGCCACCGTCGTGTAACCGAGCTCTGCCGCGCGAAGAGCGAGACGCAGGCACTCGGGAGAGGGCGGGGCGGAACATGCATCCATCTTTTCGTAGGCCCTTGGGCACTTAAACAAGTCACAAGCCCGAAGTATGACCTTGCGTGTATTGGCAGGCAGCTTGCTTTCCCCCCTCCCTCAGCTCACTTTTGTTGTAGCAGAAGGGTTACAGTGTGATGCTCGTCGAACGCCGTAACAGTGAATGCGCGCAGGAAGAGGCAACCTCGCAACTTCGTATCTTCCGATCGCAGCACTGCGTTCACCAGGCTGCGAGGGGGCCTTGTTGAAGGATGGGTCACAGAGTGACTCGTGTCCGAACATCTTTCTCACGATGTTGGGAAGTACATGCAGCAAATAGCTTGTTTTGCGGTAACCCAGGGTCGACTCCTCACTAGAGTAAGCTAGAGCCGTACCGCAATTGGTAGATCGGCGAGGGAAGAGTGAGTTGTTGAGAAATAAAAATACTCCGTGTGAACCCCACCACGGACGACGCCCTGTAGCGGCAAGAAAATCGCAGTGATGACACTCCAAATTTTCGCCACACACCCAAAATTAACGCCCACACCTTCAATACCCCAAACGATTGCCAACAACCATTCATCCATACCCGAACGAAACCTACCACCGGCTGGCCGATTCTTCACGTCGCAGTGGCTGCCGAGGAACTCCATGGTGGACAAGTGGCGGCCGGCGTCGCAAGAGGATGGGGGCGACGCCTACACGGTTGTCGAGCTCAAGTAGCATGGACGCCGAGCCGACGGCGGGAAGGAAAGACTGACAAACAATCCCACTGCTACCTTGTCGTCACCGCCGCCGCTGCCGCTGTTACCTATGTTGGTCGAGACGGGTGCCACCTCTTTGTCGGGTCTTGCTTCGTTTCGCGACGTCGAGAGGACACCCCTCGATATTTTCACTCGATTTTGGTCTTGCGTCGTCGAATGGTTCATGCGTGTGTTGAACGTTGAATCAAACGACATAGCAGGGTCGGGGGCCGTTGGCACCGATTCTTGCGGCGGGGGATGGGCGGCGGGGGTGGGTGGGTGCACACCGACCTGCTCGCCTGGGCGAGGGAGGTGCGCTGGCTGCTGTTGTTGGAGATCGGGGCCGAGAAGCCACTCGTATCTTGCCCCGTGCCGTGTGCTTCTGACTGCACGATGCGTGTGGCTATATAACAGAATGTTGCCGTTTGTGTGGCGTCAAGTGATTTTTTTTGTGATCCGCCAACGTCGTCTAATTTGAGGATGAGCGCGCATGTGCACCATCCGCTTGACTCTGCGTGCTTTGCGTTTCTGCAAGCTCTGTGTCCTCCGCCACCATTGTTAAAAAGTATTTTCATTTCCGAAAAAGCACGGTCTCCTTCGGACCTCCTGGGTACACCGGGCCACCCCCTCTTTCCTATCAAAGAGCCCACTGTTTAACCGCGCGCTGCAGCTGTAAAGGTTACGCATAGGTTCATCTGCGGCCATGTTTAGAAGTTCTTGCCTTGACGTTTGACTACGTAGCACTCGAGGTGCTCGGCCTATGTACGTTAGTGGTCATTGCTGCACACGCACAATCTGCTCACGCGACATGCTGCGGCGAGACCGCACGCATCAACGTGACAAGAAACTGACACCTTCTTCCGACACCGGCCAACAACACCTTTTTCGAGCCCCGATGTCAGACTGTCATCAGCATCCACAAACCAACATCCCAAGAGGACGAGATCGCAAATATCTACACGTCGGAATTACCGGGGGCTTTCGGGACGCCTTCCTCCACAGCTGCTCCTCGCCAAAATGACCGGCTACACATACCTCAAGGGGGTACCCGCACTCCAACTTGTTACTACACCTCTATTCAGATACACCCTTCGTGTTGTCGATCAGCCAAGCGTGCTTGCCGCCAAACGCAGGTGAGTACGAGCGTGAAAACAGCGACACGCAAGCCGTAGACAACCCCACGAAACAACGAAAGGTACTTCGTGGGCCATGTGTTGCAGGAAAAAGAGGGGCACGTACTCCGCAGCACCGCACACAGTCAGCGACACGAGCACCACCCGAACACGTCCCGCCACAACTCCACACTCCTCACTAGGCAAAGCGCACCTCATGTCTTCTTCGCAAAGCTCCGGCTCCTTTCGGGACAAAGCCGTGCTGCCGCACCAAGTCTTGGAACACCGCCACGGCGTGATCGTACAGGAGGATGGCCAGCCGGAGGTACCGCTTGATCTCCTCCGAAAGCAAGGCGTGTTCTGCTCCGCATCGGTCGCCTCGTTCTTGTTGGCGACGCTGAGCTTGCGGTAGGTGGCGGCCCACCAGGTCCCAGGGATCACCCGGGCGAGATCGAAGAGCGCCATCGTTGAGTCGAACTCCTCCACCACGCCGAACGCCTTGTAGATATCCCGGAGGAGCTTCTGCACCGGACCGATCCGGGCGGACAGCGCCGGGTCGTCGTTGAACAGGCATCCACTAGCGCCAGCGCAATCTCGCTCGAAATTCTAGCCGGCGCGTTGTCGCAGGTAGCTCCCCAGGAGATACCAAGACGGGACGCCCTCGAGGGGGACGCCGTCTAGAGCAGCTGGCCGCTCTTCGCCGACAGCCTCGCAGATGTAGCGCACCACATCCTCCGCGGGGACCAGACTCATCACGAACTGGCGCAACCTGTAGTTTCCCCAGGGCCTAGCAAAATCGACGAGCTGCACCTCGGTCGAGCTCACGACGCCCGACGCGCACAGCGGGTCCCAGCTGTGCCTCGGATTCCGTCAGTTGAAGTACGCCGAAACGACCCTATTCACCGGATGTCTGAACACGGTAAAGTACTGGCAACTCTCGGCCACGCCGGGGGAGCGCCGCAGGGCCTCCACGTCGCCCCTCGTCGCGATCCTGTACCTTTTTTCGTCAAGCAGGTTCGGCGCGTACACGCCTCGATGAGGGCGTCCTCCTGTCTCCACTCGTCGGTGCCGTAGCCGACTTTGTCACCCCCTCCGACCAGATCGCCTTCCGGCGGGTGCATGATCCTCCGGATCGTCGTGCCCCCCGACTTGTGAAGGTGGTAGAAAACCCAGCAATCTAGGCCGCGATGCGGTCCTCCCGCAGCGTCACACATCGACTATAACCAAGGATACGGGCTCACCCTCGAGGCAACGACGGAGGCGAGTCCGAGAACGAGCGCCAGGAACGAGAGGCAGGGCACAAGGCGAGCGAAGTAGTAGCGCCGCCGGTGTTGGGGGTCCTCCACCTCCACTCCCCATCGCCGGCAGAGTCGCCACAAAAACGCGGAAGAAGCGCGTCGAGTAGTCGCAATGGCTTGGCCGAATCCTTCTCGAAGGCTGCGAATCCGTGTCCGTTCGTCCCCTGCCTCGCCTTCTCCGGGCTCATCATCGGTGTTGTCGCCCCATTGTCCACCCTCGCGCTTCCCTGTTATTGCTGTGTCTGGTACTTGTGCCCTTCCTTCGTCGTCAACGTTTCGGGAACTACCCATATTCCCTACTCTAGCCTGTCTTCTCAACATACCCATTGTTCCAAAGCAGGCGTGGGGAGCACTAAAGCGCAAAGCGGAGATACAGAGAGCCAGGCCAAGAGCGAGAGAGAGAGACAGAGAGAGGCCGAGACAGAGAGAGAAAGACATCACGCAAATTTGCTTGCGAGAGCCCGTGCAGCAGGAACAATGCAAGCATGGCACGAGCTGTGCAGCACTACCAAACTACCAATCAGTCACGTAGTATCACGACATTGGCCTACGAGGCCTCACCAGACGCTCCAGTAGAGATTCTGACGTTTATCTCGTCACACATGTTGCCGCTCCGTACGTCTCACATGTGGACCAATCTGTCGAGCAATCACCTCCTCGAATACCATTTGTCAGACAGCGCGTCTGCCGCGGTCACGATGCCCCCGCCCCCCCCATGGAAGTACCGTTCTCGTGACGTATCCTGAACCCCACCACCATGGAGCCTCGTGCGTGATCTATACCCGAACTTCTGCCACAAGGACGGCGAGGGATATCTGTACCAACTCTCACGACAATCGATTGGTCTCCGTAGGACACCACGAGACGCTGTTATGGTAGTTTTGTTTTGCAGAGCGGCCCGTGGGGTGCTTCTTGTTTTGCAAAAAAAATGTTCGGAGGGATTGTGATGTCATGTATGCACACAAAACAAAATCGCAAATGGTTATGCGTGCCTGTCTGTCTATCTGTCTGTCTGTCTGTCTGTCTGTCTGTCTGTCCGTGACGATGTTATCCCAGTAGACTGGAGCCCATTTCACCATCTAGGCACCAAATTGCAATCAAAGACGTAAGACTATGTGGAACAAGTAGCATCTTGCCCGAGCTGTCACAACTGCGACCTTTTCAATCCGAGGTCGTTGCTTCGAGATATCACAACATCTGCGCCGACATGAATGTCAGGTTTCACGCGTCTCCGAGACCGGGGAGGAGGCTTGCTTGGAACCAGACATACTGTCTGCACGTAGGCTCAAGAGCCACTCTCACCAAAAGTTTCGGGATGGTCATCATCGATCGATCGATCACCTCTTCCTTTGCAGACACACGCAACAGGAATCACCCGGAGCCAGACCTGGACAGGGGGGGAGGGAGACACACACCACGGCGAGAGTTTGGGCGAGAGCGAGTCGGGAGCAGGGTGTGCCCTATGCTGCTGCTGCTGTTAGCCATGGGCGGAGGAAGCGAGAGGAGAAATACACGTTTGGTAGTGGGTCTCGGTTGTTTTTCCGTTTGCAGCGAGCCGCAGCGGCCTGTGGGACGTAGGTTCACCCGCAAGACACCACCCACACGGAGCCAGACATGAACAAAGGGGGAGGGAGACACACACCTCAGCAACGGCGAAACGGAGGAAGCGATAGGAGGAAAACGGTTTGGTTGGGTGTCGGTTACCGTTTCTTGTGTACCTAGTAGTTTTTTGCAGCGGAAGCGGCCTCTTCTTGGAGAGAGTTTTCACACCAACAACACACACACGCTGACGCCGCTACGCACCACCATTGGTGCAATGTGTGCTGCTGTACGCCTCTCTATAGTCTATGCGCGAGGGTCTATGTAGCGTGCGACCTGTGCCTTCCGTGCTAGTCTGGTCACCCATCACACGCTATTGATGAGTTGCCTCGATAAAAGCTCGAACCAGAGAGATGATGAAGATGATGAAGGTGATGAACACCGCCCCTGGCTGATGAACACTACCCCCGATTATGCCCCCTTCTAAACATTAGCTTATAGTGATGAATACCACCCCCCCCTCTGCCGCTGATGATGAACATCACCTCCCCTCTCTGAAAATCACATTTTTGCCCCACAATTCGGCACGAATGCTGCTGTGCGGTAAACGAGCCAACTGGCAAATGGCAACAACGCACGAGCAGACTGCAGATACAGTATTCCACCTGCCTATCCGTAGCACAGCCTGCGCATGAGCGCTTCTACCCCCCAAACATTCTGGACCGACCGCTTTTTCTCTTCGATCCCCTTGCGCAAAAAAATAAACTCCACATTGAGAAGTCTGGGAGGCTGGATGCGACGCTGGCTTGATCCTTCAGGGACATTCCCAGGTACTGCATGACAACAGCAAGCTACGATCGCCAGCATCCGGAGAGCTAACTGGTCTGAACGGCTGGACCCTTATCGCGAAAAAAATGAAATTCAGCACGCACCGCAGGAGGAAGGTGGGGCATGAAAAGAAATAAATAGAAGCAAAAAGCCCTGTTGTTTACCCGCCCTCCTGTGTGACCCTGGATGGTTGTAGTTGTACGAAAAAATACACTGAAAAGTGTAGTACTGTACATACGCTGAAAAGTGTAGTACAGCAGTGCACTGCTTCACTAAAAAATTCCAAACCTTCAGAATGTACCGATAAGAACACGTGCTCAGCTGCAGTGCACGCCCTGTTAGGAACAAGAACACACACACACCCGAGGTGCAAAACTGCTGCTACAAATAAGAACGACAGCAATGCAGCGGCTGCCAGATAAGAATACTCGCAGGGGGAGGGAGGGAAGAGGGGGGAGTGATCCCAGAGTAGAGAGTATTGGATTTGGGAGGGGTACATACCCCACATAGACTATAGACTATATCAGTATTTGTATTTTTTTAGAGGGGGAGGGTGGGCATTGTACGCACGCGTCGTGCCCCTGGGTGCCCCCGAGAAAAGCGTGCGTGCCACGCAACGTGCAGCGTGCCACGAGCTGCCTGCGGTGCAGGGGGATTGTGTCCCAGTGCAATCCCTTATCCCATGGGATATGGAAAGAGCTTGGCAAGCTTGCAGAGTTGAAACAAAGGGGTCTGATTCTTGACCGTCACTTCGAGACAATCAAAGCACACGTGAAGGCGGGCAACTCCGTTGCGAAGGAGCGATGGGACGCCATCGAGAGCGCGTGGGGGCTGAAGCAGAACGGTGTCTTCGACGAAGAAGAGTGGGTCACGCAGATTGACGGCGAAACGTAGGGTATTACCAGCAGCACCCGCCTGTCCTCTTCATCCCAACAAGATGCCGGCAGCGCGCGAGGTGCTGCACCGCCGTCTCAGCACCCACCAGCTGCTGCAGGTACCGCGAGGAGAAAGGCCGTGGATCGCGGGAAGCAAGCTAGGGAGAGAGCTGCCAAAGGCACTTTAGGAGGCAACATCTGCAACGCGTTCGTGATTGGCAGCCGAGGACCGGTGAGCACACAGTTACTTTTCGCTACCGGTGTAGTCTACATACACGTTTTCGTTTTTCAAGAAAAACTCCCGTGAAAACGATGTCATGATGAGGGCCATTTTTTTCAGTAGCGGCGCGTAAGAAAAATAAACAAAGGAGAAAGTTCGTAGTTTTCGGGCTGGCCTCTGCTGGCAACGACTGCGTTTCGCACGCCGTTTCTTGCTGCAGGTGCCCAAGCAAGTGGAGGAGTGTCGAGTTCTCGTCAACTGCGTCTTCTGGCAAGAGCCAACTCCGGTGCAAATACTCCGGAAAGTTGTGCCTGTTTCAGATTCGTGGAATGCCGCTGCTGTGTAGACATGATAAGATAAGATTTTCGTCCATCCCCCTTTTTTTCAAGCAAGACCATAACATTAAAAGAAAATAGTGGAGATAGATATTCTAGTTTGTATACCGGCGACTTTGTTTTGGCGTCACAACAGTGCACGTTCTCTGCTTGATATTTAGTTTGAATAGTCACGAACGAAACAGACAGCTTTCGGCTCTCCACGGAGGTTTGAGGTCGAAAGCGCCACACTCCATAGCGAACGATACATGACGTTACTCGTTGATTCACCCCCCGGCAACTCCGCCCTGCTTCCACCATGCCATCAGATTGAGCGGACTCGCGGTGGAGTGAAAGAGCTCATATCCGGAATAAGCTTCCCACCTCCGACACCGGAGTCCCACCCTTCTTGCCCTCACTGTCCCATGACCTTCGTGAACGAGCAAGGCCTTGGGATCCACGTGGGAACGCAGCACAGCAGTGCAAACATGCCCAACGGCGTGCGGCTGCGGCGCATGTTACGGAAGGATGTCGGAGGGAGTGTCCTGCCGTCGGAAGCAGCCGGGCCTGGGCGTTGTTGGCAGGTGAAGTTCGATCATGCGACGGGGACGGCTTAGTTTGTCCTCCAGCGGAAGCGCTTTCTCGATCTCGATCGACTTGGATAGCGACGGCTATATGGACCGCAAACCCAAGGACACTCGTGGGGCTGCCAAGCGCAGGCGATACAAGTTCAGGTTCACAGCCCACCCGGTCAACCAGCTGCGCATCCTCCAGGACAACGCCGAAGACCTCTGGATGAAGGAGGAGCAGCGCACTCCTCTTCAGTTCTTGGAGGATCGTCTCAAGGTTCCCTTCAGCAATATAGTGAAGTGGGCCAAGAAGGAGAAGGAATTGGTCGCGGCGGCAGCCGATGACGTAAAGTAGAGCCTCCTCGCCAAACAGCAGCCTAAGCGGTGGTTTCCTGAGGCAGAGAAGCGACTGTACAAGGGGTTCGTGGAGCGGCGGAAGAGAAAGCTGAAGGTGTCGACCCTGTGGCTGACGATCACGTTCCGGAAGCTCGTGCGAGAGATGTACCCCGGGGATCAACGAGCGGCGTCCTTTTGCGCATCCTTCAGGTGGGCGCGAAGATGGGCCAAGAGGCACAACCTGTACAAAAGACGCCGGACCAACCTCAAGAACAAGTCTGTCGAAGAGCGGCTTCCAGAGATCCAGCGCTTCCACCGGCTGTTTCGCAAGCTCCTGCAAAAGCCGGTGCAGTAAAGGGCGCCCGACGAGTCGTACGTATCGGCGATTACGACGGTCGCGGAGAGAGAGTCCAGGGTTCCCAAATACGGTCAATTCTAGCTCTGGGAGCGTTGGAATGTGGATCAAGTGTCTTTGGCATTCGTGAACAGGCTGCTCGGCACGTGGGACAAGAGAGGTGCGTTGCGGGTAGCAATCTCGCAGCCCTTTCCTGGCCTTGAGAAAAGGCAGTGCACCATGCAAGACATCTTTGGTCCGGGTGAGAAGACCATGCAAATTTCGGTGATTTTCCGAGGCACGGGAAAGCGGATCTCGCCGGTGGAGAAGGCAGCGTATCACGAGGACGTGGACGTGTTTTTCCAGGTGAACGCGTGGGCCAACCAAAAGTTCTGTATGGAGTGGGCGAAGAGGTCCTACCGCGAAGGCCTGATGCGCGGGCGGGGTGTGATCGATAATTCGGGTGGCTCGATTCTTTGTGGTTGGAGCTCAAAGCGGGTGGGTCATGGCGGAGCGTGGATGGGTAGAAACGTGTTGAAAACGTGTTGCAAAGTATAGTATTAATCGGNCCGGTGGAGAAGGCAGCGTATCACGAGGACGTGGACGTGTTTTTCCAGGTGAACGCGTGGGCCGACCAAAAGTTCTGTATGGAGTGGGCGAAGAGGTCCTACCGCGAAGGCCTG